CTCCTCTGTCCTCAAGCATCTCATGGACGACGAGCCCCAAGAGCAGGTAGAATTTCAATCTCAATCTGAATCGACGATAGATGGAAACGAGGCTGAGTCCGTACCCTACACTCATCTTCTCTAGTCAGAAGCCCATTTTACTCCAGAATCACGGGCGCCTTCTTCCCCCATGCACAGCACTTCGTCGTCGCTGGTGGACAGTTCAAGAGTATCACGAATATCAACCATGCGGCCCCGATTGTACCTTCTGGTGACTAACGACCTCACACTGCGGGCAAATGCCGAGGCATGTGGACATCACATGCACAATACGCATGTGATGACGCATGTGTTCGGCATGTGTTCAGCATGCATCGATCCAGGCCCAAAAAGCCTTTTTTCGGAGCATGCCGAACACATGAGGAACACATGGTCATCACATGCGTATTGCGCATGTGATGTCCACATGCCTCGGCATTTGCCCGCAGTGTCAACTCTTTCGGAACGAAGCTCACAAGAAACTGACAGACTTTCGAAGAATACCGCTGGGGGACCTGGACCTGCAAAGCGAAATACGAACGGACTGTGATTCCGGCATGGTAAATAGCCGTAATGGCAAGGCCTCCGCAAGACGGATGTATTCTGCACGGATCCATGGGTTGAAATCAAAAATGACCGTGGCCTTATATCAGGGCTCGAACGCCGAAGAGGTGTGTAATCGGTATTCCTTCGTTGACCCCAAGTTGAATGACTCCCTTTCGCAGGAATGGCGCCAGGATATTTCGCGGCATGCATGGCCTCGGTGAGCCCATTTCTATGACCCTTATTTGCTCATGTCAATTTCCGTTGCAGCCATCCCAACCTTATACAGCTCTTTGGCACGGCGAGCTCATCTCGCCTACACGCAACGATTTTCTATGGCGGTTGTTTCCCCCCCTTTCGTCCCTCTCCTTCAAAACTTAATGGCGACGAGCAATTAGAATTAATTCCTGCGACCCACATGCTGGGGAACTACCGAGATTCTCATTTCTCGACGGTCTATATCTGGGCATGTCTTGTATGTTCATGAACCCTGGTACTGTACCTTCGACCTGTTAATGTTGATTTCCCAGGATACAGAATTCGATGTAAGAGAATATATTTCTCTGATGCGACGTACTCATGAGGTCGCAGTGTGTACAACGATACGTGTCCTCTATTTCGGGGAGAGCGCTGGTAAGCAGATCGTCTGGTATTCGATCTATACATTTGATCGCCATGGAAAGTCCTCCTCGGAGTGTACGATATGGATCCGGCATTCAACTGGTCGTCCTTGCGTCTACCTCGAACCCAGTGGGCAATCTAGACTTCTCCTTTACACTTCCATCTTCAAATCCCCGTCCTCGTCTATCCCCCGACTGTTTGAACCTCCTAAAGACTCGACGGTCATAGATTCCGTTTCACTGAATCTATACCATCGACTTTGCTACTATTTTCCCGACGCTTGCGAGCACTCAAGCTCGCAGGTAGGAGTGCAACTGGGGGCCCTCATTTACCGAGGTTATGACACCGAAAGTACTACCGGGATCGGATATATGCCTGATTTGGGTGTCTCCGATTCTGGGTGGCGGGCGACAGGGCGAAGGCCATTATTGCTCACGGAGAATGGGTGGACCCGGTGTGTTCCCTCTATTTATCCCAGGATTTCTAATCATTTTCAGTCTGAATTCTGATGATCATCTGGATGGAGTTCTTTCCCGCAGGATATGGTGCAACTACAGGGCATTCCACGGGTGGCTCTCCCAAGCGAACCACATCTTCAGTACTCTCGGTATAGCCTCCAACCATCGCGATTATGGTATGTTCTCGGAATACGGGGGAGGTTATCTCAATTAATTCTAATAAATTGGCCCTCAGTATTTGTATCCCACATCTTATACCAACTTACATTATTCGACACCGGAAACAGCATCCCTCGGGGATATTTATTCCTCTGTCCTTTGACAGAACTGCAATCGAGCAGCCAGTCGCGTTTTCGGCGCCCGAAATGCCCAGCCTACTGGTCTCTCGACTCATCCGGTGCCGGACGTCTGGAAATGGAGGAGGCGGCACGCCTCGGATTTCCTAGCTTTGAGTTTAAAATGATGGTCGGGGGGCGCTCCTGGGATGAAAGCGTCTACACCGGGATCAGCCAATTCCATCAAGGTAAAGGGTTCGATCCTGATAGCCAGGATGTCGCTCGAGAGCTAGGGTACGCACTCTTCGAGATATCGACGGAGGTGGATGGTGTATTTGTACACGGTGAGTTTAATAACGAGCACCGATGTTTTTATCTTGATCTTCCACAGTTAGAGAGGTCGAGGACTATAGGGCAGACTCCGACCATCACGAAGTCCCATTGATTCATGAAACTCCCTCGCAAGCAGTTTATGAGGAATCCAGTGCGCCCTCTAAATTGTCTAACTTTGCCGGGACTCAATCGAATTATATTTGACAGACTTGGATTCACCGTTTGAACCCGAAACCTCTTGCGCTCTCGACGACGCAGAAATGCACGAGCCATCTAAGGCCTGGAAGATATTTATGGGAGTGCAGCTTATGCTCATTCTGATCACCATCATCATGTGGTTGCATGATTCGCGCAACCTGTAGTTTATCTCTCCGACCGGTTCAAATTCTTTCGCCATATGTTTTTTGGAATTTTTTACCATAACTTTCAGATGGTTATCCTGTCCTTTTGAGAATTATTGCGTCGGACTGGGGAGCAATGTAGTTTCATTCACTGGCCTCCCCGCGATTTCCTGTTGACCGCTTGGCCGGGAATACACTTGTGTAGATCATTTTCCATAATTCTGCTGGTTGGCTGACGAGTAGAGACGGGCTGAGCACCTTTCTGAGTGACGACACAAAGTAGTGGCAAATGTTGGAGATTATCAACAAGCGGAACAATATTAATCCGGATGACCGTCAACTTTGGCTTTCACTCTGCACCACTGGCATCATGGCCAAGTTGGACATTTGTTTACCCTTATGCTCCCGGCTTTCGCTCTGCGCAACGCAACTGCAAAGCTGTGGCCCTTGCAAGGGAGGCGTCTGGGCTCAACACTACGGCGAACTCTGCTCAGATAGCATACCCATCTTTCTGCGTCAGGGTCTCGAAACATCCAATTGAAGTTTGGACTACTGCGCGCTGATCTTCATGTCACGTTCAACGCTCTGCTCATCAATCCAGGGTCTAGCATACATATTGCTCGCCGTCTCCGCCGCGGATCCCGGCCTCAAGTTAGGCTGAATCCTACCTACTATGTCAGCGCAGAAGGTGAATAGGCGCCCAGGGCCTATCAAGCGCCGTCGCCAACTTTTACGCGCATTCAAGGTCCCAAAATCCATTCCTCTTCTCCTCTTCCCACTTTTCAGCCTATTCACCTGCTCGCGATCGCAGCTTTTATTTCTTTTGCCTTTCTTTTCTGGTTCTGGTTTTCCGCCACAGGCACGACCCACCCCGCCGAACGCCTACAGACACATGCACACCATGCAGCTCACAGCATTAGTCGCCCTCGCCCTCGCCGCCTCCGGCGTTCCGCTCCCGATTATCGTCCCGCCGCCAGGAGTCACCTTAGGCGCCCCCGTGAGCGTGCCCGACCTGTCCAACGTCCGTATTGGGCACCTCCCGATCGTGCCGCCGGAGGGGGTCGTCTTCACGCGCGTGCGTCCTGGTCTTTTTCTTCTCCTTATTCGCCGTCGAATATTAATCAATTCTCATCCTAAACCCGTCTAGGACCCCACCGCCGCTAACATCGGGCTCGCGGTACGCCAATATAAAGCCCTGGTCAAAGACATCCCCGCGCGCGTGCATCTACTGTCTGCTAATCGCTCAGAGGAGAGGAGAATGCCGATATGCTTAAATCACTCTAAGAGTTCGTCCCGGTGCCAGAGGTCTCTCCCTTGCTCGGGACGTTCCCGGATACCCCGGCCGCGCCCGTTCCCTCGCCCACAGACGTTATACCTGTGCCGCCGATAGCCACAAACTTTGTGCCCGTTCCAGTGCCCTCGATCACAGACTTTGTGCCCCTTCCAGTACCCTCGGTCACAGATTTTGTGCCCGTCCGGTGCCCTCGGTCACAGAATTTGTCGTTGTCCCCAAGCCCTCGCTGCCCTCTGAGCCGACAGTCATCATCGGGCACCTCCCCACACCGGATAAAGAAAAATATCGACCTAGGTAGAAAGGTGAGCGGGAAGTCTCCGACATTTTTCCCATTGGCTCGGCATTTCGGTGTGCCATCGTGCCGCCGGGTGGGCTCTCCCCACTGGAATTACCTCACTGCCAGGGGCCACCTTCAACCCGCGCGCGAAGGATACTCCAGAACGGCTGGAAATTTAAACCTGATGAGTCAAGAGGCGAGGCCTCCGTCGTAGAGGGGTCCACACGGATCGCAAAGAGTTGTAGTAAATACTCCTGATATAGTGTTAACCGGTGTGGGTATCGTGTTATGTCGATGGCAATTTATGTTCACTTCATCGAAAATATATCCCAGAAATCAGGCTGTTTTGGTGCAACCTGAGGGTAAGTCCCAGTAGGAACTCAAAGCTTGTATGGACTTTCCGTCCCACTCGGATTTCCGAATTGTTGTGAGGTTCAAATTAGATCGGAATTTGAGCCATGGAAAAGTTCGGAACTGCGGCTGCTCTGTTATATCTCGACTGACTAGAAAATTCAACCTGTGTTTGCAGTTATTTGCCCATTTGACCCGGCAGGCAACACCCCTTGTCCACAAAACAAGACATATAATAGGATAATTCTTTGGTTATTCACATAGCCTTGAACGTGTTCTACGTCCGAGTGTGATTCAAACTACTAAAGAAGTATACTAAGACTATAATTCTCCGCGCCTGATGGGCTATCTTTGCAAACTGTTTCCTTAGCTCTCCTATCACGATCTTTCTTTGCAAGCGGGGTTCGAAATTGGGGTGGGGCTGTCTACATATGTGCTTTGCGCTCAAATACAGTGAGGATAAAAAGGAAACAGCGAAGCAAAAAGATATTCCGGATCGGGGAATCGAACCCCGGGCTGCCGCGAGAGAATTACGTAAAGCGAGCTGCTTACGTAAACATGAGAGGCGGCAATGTTAACCCCTACACCAATCCGGACATGTATACCTTTTGTTTGGTTCCGGCTTCATCCACACTGGTGGAAGATTTCAAAAGTTTTTGAGTGAAAAAATTGGTGTCTTGCTTAGTTTCGGGAGCGATGGGCGCAAACTGAATGCTGGAGGGGTTAAATCTCAACCTCCGCGGCGGCAGACCTCAAAACTCGGTTGACTTGTGCGGGAGTCACACCGGATAGCGAAGACGACGGTAACTCTTTCACAGTCCATCGGGATCCGTCACAACCGTGGCTTGAAGTGTTTGAGGAATACTATGATTCTCATCCAGAGGGTCTTCCTCCCAAGATGTCAATGGTGACGTGATGGGGTGTAGGTTGTTTTCTCTTGATCCAATAGGGTGTTTCAAAGTTAAGATTTCGGCCTCAACTTCTGCCTCAACTTCTGCCTCAACTTGACCTCAACTTTGCCTCAACTTGAGGCAGAAGTTGGGGCTTGAACTGTGAAACACCTGAGCATATTTCTGCCTCAAGTCCTCCAACTTTGCACCTCGACTTTCGCCCAACATGCAGGAGGCAGAGGAGAGGAAGGTGAAGAAGAAAAGCCGGAGGAAAATGGAGGATGGAAAGGCAAAGTGGTTCACATCCGACACATTCATTCAGATGTGTATCGATGATGAGAAGAAGAAAGAGGAGGAAGAGGCGGCGAAGGAAGGGAAGAAGGAGGAGCGAGAGGTACGGGCTGCTGAGTTGGCAGAATGGAAGAAGAAAAACGAACTGATCCGTGGACGCAACAAGGCGAAGAAGGAACAGTTCAGGATTGACACGGCGGCGTGGGAGGTGGAGAGGGCAGAGGCTAAAGCCGAGAAGCGCCGTCCGGCATGGACGAAGCCGAAGTGGAAGGACTACCAGCCGGAGGCGATGTTGCGAGGCCCAAGAAGGCGGCAGAGGACAAGGAGGACGAGAGTGATGATGCAGAGGGGTCTGTAAGCGGATGGGGAATGAATGAAGATTAGACACACACCGGGATTACAGGAATTTCGGGGCACCCGAAGTTGGTTTCGATATGGCACGTGCTTGTTCCGGGTGCGCCGAAATGCTTCGGGCTTGCTATATATGGGAAGGCCGATGCATTTCGGCGCGCCCGAAATGGCCACGTGCCGTATCGAAACTAACATCGGCTGTCCCGAAATTTCTGTAATCCCGGTGTGACAGCGGAAATATTTTTGCCGTTGTTAACCAGTGTGATGTGACTGTCCCATTGGCATATCAAGTGCCTGATAACGACTTTTGCTCTGATTTTGCCCCGATATCACTCAAAGATACACGGAAAATTTTCATATATGTTAGATTACACCTAACACTAACATCTGGCCAGCTCAAAACTTTGCAGAAAGTTTTGTTCTGTGTCAAAAACCGCCAACAAAATTTGATCATCCCATTCGGCCATAGAAGTCTGTATCCCATGATCGCCTCCATCTGGGCTACATGTACATGTTTTCCCCAAATTTATTGACCTAAGATTGACTGAGTTATTAATTATTCATTGTGGCCAGCGCTCTCGCCCTGATTTTTCCCACGGCTCGCCGAAGCGCTGCCCCGGGGCGTGCCCCGCTCTCCTTTCCAAAATAGCCAGCGCCAAGACAAGCCTCGCCTCTCAACCAGACGATCCGCGCTATCTTGTCTTCACACTGTCCCACCCTACCGTCTGCCTCGCTCTGCCCCGCCTCGCGGCGACGATTCTGCCGCTGCTCGACTCGCTGGCGCAGCCCGAAGGAACGATGACGGCAACGCCAACGGTTATGTCGCAAGCCTTCAGCCAAGGGGCTGCCGTCCCTCAAGCTTCGACCGTTGTCGACATCATAATAGGATGGGTATATAGAGTGCCGAAACCCTTAGCTCCTTGAATCATCCTGCTTGTAATAAGTATCTGTTCAGTTCTGTCTTCCTTAAGGCCTTGATCCTTTTCGGTGCTCTTGAAGGTGCCTTCTCTGTGATTGCAGGATTTGACCAATTACGAGCTGTGTGCCGATGACCGGTACGTGATGGGAGGTCTGATATTCCTTTCCGTGAAAACTAGCTATCTACCAACTTGTCCACTATTCCTCTACGTCTTTCGATTATCAGCAAAGCACTATGTCCACCCAACCACCAGATTATGCGCCTCTTATGCCCCCCCAGCCGACGGTCTACGACCTAAGCCTTCACCGGTACCTCATGCATCAACTTGTCCATCAGCTCTGTAAAGTGCCCGTCCGGCTTCATCAGCTGCGCCTCGGGGCTCACAAATCCGTCCGTCACATGCGTCATGCACCCAAAGAAACCGTACTCAAACACCCACTCCTGCCCGTCCATCCAGTTGGCCAGCTTGGCCGTGAAGTGATACACCTGGCCCTTGTCTCTGCTCGTGCACGCAATCTCAGACACGATCAGCGGCATTTTGGGATGAGCCTCGTGCATCTCCTCAATAAACTTGGCCGCGTCCTCGCCGTTGGGGCCGTAGTAGTGCAGTCCCAGGTAGTCGGGCGGGTGGGCCGCGACGCGCTTCAAAAAGTCGGCGATCCACTCCTTGCCCTTGGGATCGGATGCGCACGACGGCGACACGAGCTTCTTACCGTGCTCCTTACGGAGCGGAACCATGTGCTGCTCCCACAGCTGGGCGGCCTCCGCGGGGGAGACGCCGGCGCGCTCGGGTTCGTTGAAGAAGTGAACGATGTGCTCCTTAGACTTGAGCACGTTCTGCCAGTCGTCTCCCGAGAGCTGGTCCCTGGTGCGGACCATGGGGCGGAATGGGGCGCGGCCCTTGAGCTCCGGCGGCGTCCAGGTGTTCCAGTTGGAGACAGAGGACATGGGGCCCTTGAAGTCGACGTTGTCCATGGCCCAGGGGACATCGCGGGTGTTGGTCCAGTCCCAGAGGAGGCAGCGCTTGTTGGGGGCCATTGTGAGAAAGAAAGTTGTTTACACGAGAGGTAAGAAACGGGAAGGTTGTGCCAGTGAATTAGTGTTGCCGGTGTCAGGTTCAGAACCGATTCAGAACCTGAACCGGACCTGAACCTGACCCGAATTCAGGTTCAGAGAGTCGCAAAGAACCGGACCGAACCGCGGGTCGGGTTCGGGGTTTGAGAATTGTTGGAAATTTCCGAACCTGTGCGAACCTGTCCGGACATGTTCGAACCCGCCTTTTTCCTCTTGAAAATTTACCTGCTTTTGACGAAGTTCGGTCCCACCCAATTTCCCCGTGACCGTGTTCGAACCAAAAATATATTGTGTTCTGCTTTGCTTTGACTACGCTCGGCGCCTTGGAGCTTTTACCACGGCCACTGGCAGCATTTCTTGTCTTCGTTGAAATTGCAGTAAATATGTATATTCAGCACTATTGATCTCAGTACCCAATGCTGGGAAGTGATTAGCTCGCTGTCCAGGGCTCTGCTACGGCGTCCAAGAGAGCTTTCCTCAATAGGACACTGAGTGTAACTCCGCATTGCAACCGGCTGGCTTCGGACATCTTTCGAGCACTTCAGCAGTTGAAAAGTGCTGTTTGCAATCATTATGTTGGGGCTGCAGAGGAGGCTACAAGATGCATCACTGCGGCACTGGTTGAAATTTATCTCTACATTTTGCGTGTATCATCATCTACCTCCCGAAAATTGGTTGAAAAAAAATTGCGGTTCATTCGGGTCCGAACCTGTTCAGAACCCGAACCGAACCCTTTGTGGACTGGACCGATGTCCGGTCCGGGGTTCGAAAAATTTGAGCGAACCGGACCCCAGGTCAGGTTCGGGGTTCGGATTTTTTGGCAAAAAACCGGACCGAACCGAACATCGGCAACACTACAGTGAATAAGCGAGGTAGAGAGGGTGGGTGTTTGGAACGAGTAGCTGTGACGGTTTGGTTATATAGCTCCCCTTCCCACCCGACGACAAGACCAAGAGAGTTATAATTTGGGAACAAGACGGAAGCACTTGCTTTCGTCAACATAGGTCGAAGTCCCGTGGAGTGCGCAGCTCCGCATTTTCGCCGCGGCTGTCGGGATTCGGGAAGCGGAGTTGCGTTTCGACCGGATGTTCAGGTCACGCGTGAAGCTGGCATCTGAACTGAACCTATTCGGAACCAGTAACGGTGACAAAACGGTGACGGCGGGGTTTCCTGTCCAAAATAGGCAATAAAATCACAAAAAAAATCTTCCGGCTCGCACCGGACTACCAAATATGGTAAAATTTCCGTGCCGAGAAATAAACATGTAGGTAAGTGAACACAAGATTTGCCTTCGCTCCGCTTCGGCACCGATACTGGCGGGAGGCAATATTTTTGGGCTGCCAGTGACTCAGATTTTATTACTGGAAATGCGGACAATGTAAGGATTATAAATGTACCTGGGGTCAAGACTCAAGTGTGAGGGCCCGAGGTAGATTTAAGCAGCGCTACAACGTAACGTAGGAATCTAGGCCCAACATATTCTTGTTGCCGAGGATGTTACTTGGATAACAGTTGCGTGGTTGCGGGTTCGACATGCCGTTGTAAACCACAGGTCCAGAGAATATTTAGGGTTCATGGTGCGAGCAGCGAAGAGGAATTGACTGTTATTTTCAAGCAGGAGCCCCCAGTTTTATACTCGGAGGCAAGCCTACGTGGCCGCAGTCCGAAGAATATGCCAAGCGGTGTTGAAATGTGAAAAAGATGCCCGACTTGGAATCTCTTAACAGCAGTTGAAGGCTGTGGAAGCACGGGACGCAGCTGGGATGGAGAATTAGCCATATTGAGATTAATTTCCGAAGTCTGCTGTTCCAGATTTGCACCGCGGCAAGCGTTCGTCAGCGCGAGCCGGCTTGAGGTTGACAGACCGCAGTTGGTTTCCTGACTCCGAGATGGGAACTTGCTGCAAAAATAGCAGGCAAAGCTGTGGAGCTTTACGGTGAAGGGCAGAGAAAGGACAATGGGGTAAACCTGAAGGAGATGAGGCCAAATACAACCCAACGAATTGGGCACTAAATCTTAATAGAACGGATAATGCACAACCATCGCTGACGCCAGCTCCACCATCGATGCT